AGCAGTGGTGCTTTACCAGCCAGCAGTGGTGCTAGGTGAAGAGCCCACTCATCTCGCGGCCACTGGCAAGCATGAGCAATTCTTTCAAAGGTGATTAAATAATGTTCAATGTCCTCACCTTCATTGTAAGGTTGCATTTTTGGCCCCTTCCAGCCTGAATTTCTCACCAGTGTTGAAAGCTGTGCCTCACTGCGTTGATGTACCGGCTCCATGTCAAGCCTATTTGATTCTTGTGTGCTGGCAGATGGTTCTGGAGTAGGTGCTCTTGAAGAAGCCGATGTAGATGCTTGTACTTCAAGTAACTGATGCTCTAGATTGCCATGCTGCACCTGCTGTTGAAGCTGGGCAAACTGATGCCGGATTTGCCTCCATCTATCCTCCTGGCGCTTGTGCTCTTGCTCCAGTTTAGCATCGCGTTCAGCCTGCTGTTGCATCAGAGTTTGCAAAAGTTTGGACAATTCAGCCACATTTTCTCTTGTCCAGCAATATGGCCACTTATTGCCTCTTGTTGGTCGCTGCCATCTTGTAAATCATCTGCTTCACATTCTGGAACAAGCCCCCTCTTTGCTCGGGTAGACATCTTCTCCACTCCTTAATTGGCCTGGAATCCCACTGCTGCTGCCACCAAATGTGGTAGGACTCGACTTAAGCGGTCAAAGAAGTGCAGGAGACTGATGCTGTCCAGTGTAGCAAGTGATTTATTCACCATTTTGTGACCCAAACAATATTTACAAAGAAACAAATAAGAAACTCAACTCTATAATCAAGTCAGTTCAAATAAACATAACTGAACTTAAATCAACGGAAATTAAGGTCAAACTGCACACAGCTACACTGACCTGAACATTTTCCTCAAAACACCTGAGTTCTTCTGCTTAAATAGTCCACTTAACCAAACAATTTCTCCTCTGGACTATTCCATTCAGTAGGTAGGTAAGATGAACATGATTATATTCAAACCTCTGCTACTCCTCTTTACTGGCAACATAAACTCTATGGTGTAATCAATACATATTACAACAATTAATCTATTTCTTCTTAAACCCTCTAAAATCAACTTTGTTAAATTATAAGAGTTCTTCCCCATCTGCACTTGGTCTCTTCCTGTGACCTCAGATGAACCCAGAAGGTATAAAGCAGGAAGTAAAACTACATTTCCTCCTTTTGTTTCTGGAAGACAGGTAGGTAAGGTAAGTTCTAAACAATACACATTAACAGTTGAAATAAAGAACATGTTAACTTAACAAACTTGTAGGGATTGATTTAAACCAAGATGTTATATTATATAATCTGTAAAAGTGCAAAACATAAACAAACCCGGGATAGTAGATGTTTGCCTATTGCAGATTACATGTGAAATATGGTTAACTCAAAGCAAGAGTGTTAACTAAGAATATAGACAAATGGTCTTCTAACCCACTTTGTCACACAATGTTAGCATATCTGGGATGGCACCAGCCTCACTCTTGAGCTTCAAAAAGTTTTTGGCAACCGTGACCGATAACAGGAAACCCACCCGCAGTAGATGTGCTCGGTGTGAGGTCTGGCAGCAAGCTATCAAATACGGCGCATTTCTCTGCTTTTAAAAAAACGCTATACGCCACCATGTGTTTCATCAGATTCGAGGTGTTACCTCCTTTGCACACTATCACAGTATCAGCTTAAAGCACTTGTTGCAGGCTGCTGAGTTTGCATCTTTTGCTGTGAAGTACAGCCAAACTTTGACCGCTTCGCTTTGGGCATTTTTAATCTGTAGCTCTGCGTAGGTGCATAGGTGATAAATCAAAAGATCTTTCAGCCCAATTCTACTTTTTCTGCATAATGCATCATACAAAATGTAATCAAATGGAAAAAGTCTCTTTTTAAAACTTGTTTTATTAGTTTTAATCTTTTAAAAAATTAAATTATATGCACCATTCTCTGACTGGAAGAAATTTGTTTACCTATTTTCTGCACATTCCAGCACATAAAATAAAATAGATTTTTGTGTTTACACTCACTCTTTCAAATAGATGCAAGTAAAACACAGCAGAAAATAAATAAAATTAAAGACTAGCAGTCCTGTTGCTCTATTTTCACCTGTATAGCAGGAGCGGGGTAGGTGGAGGTGTGCCCTGGTGCAGGTGTGTCGCAGCGGTAAGTTGAAGAATCTGCGAGTTTCTCTGAGAATTTCCCATTACGTGGTAGCGCACTCGGTGCTTGCTTGGAAGTTTAGATGGTTTTTTTGCTGTAAAAAGAAGTTTTTTTTCCCACGCAGTGAACAGCGGACACTAATGTTTTTGTCACTTTTTATGGAATCAAACTCAAAGTAAGGTCAGTACTTCCACACTTTAAACGCTGCATGCTAATGTTTTTGTCACTTTTTATGGAATCAAACTCAAAGTAAGGTCAGTACTTCCACACGTTAAACGCTGCACGGTCATACTCTCTCCCGCACTCGATATATCGAGTGTGATTTCTCTAAATCAGAAACCCATCTAAACAGTGGAATGTTTTTATGGCCACTAACAAAACAGAAGATATTAGCCCATCGTTACTGTGGGAAACTGCCAAAGCCTATCTTAGGGGTAGTATTATTTCATATATCACAACGCAGAAAAAGACATCAATGAAAGTACAACTCGATTTAGAGAACACAATACAAAAACTGGAAGTACAGTTTAAAATCACTAGGTCCAAAACTATATTGAAGGACTTAGAAGCAGCCCGCTCAGCTTAAAACCAATTACTGACTAAAAAAGCAGAGTCAGCATTTTTCCTTTGCTAAGCATAGGCTATATGAATCTGGGAACAAACCTGACCTCTTTGCAAAATTGGAAAAAAGGCAGAACAGAGGCAAACATAGAATAGAATAGAATAATCCTTTAATTGTCCCACAAGGGGAAATTTGGTTGTAACAGCAGCCAGAAAAACACATATACAAACAAACAGTACACAGGACACGGAACAGAAAAATACACAATTTTTCTTACATATTTGCATTAGGGACAATGGTTACTATATACAGAGAGTACTGTACAGTTATTAAATTAAATAAAAATAACTACAGATAAGAGGCAAACCAGGTTGTAGTGCGAATTGGTTAATTAACTTATTGCAGTTACAGCGCAGATGTAGAACATCTATCTTTGTTGGGAGCAGTTCTGATTGTACAGTCTGACAGCTGCAGGGAGGAAGGAC